TAAATATATATATATATATATATATATATATATATATATATATATATATATATATATATATATATATATATATATATATTATGGCTTTATTTAATCCCTTGGGAATTGATTGGATTCTTAAAAGCGGACATTCTGTAGCAGAATAGACCTGGACAAGCTTGCAGTCAGCTGTGAAGTACTACTTGGTCACTTTTAAGCAACCGGGGCCCACTGGAAAAAACATTTATGCAAAATTATATTATGTTGCTTCTTGCATGTTTTAATGACACTTTCAGAGTGAAATGTTTAGTGAGTGGCACTAGAATTGCGTTCAGTTTTATCCAAAACATATCAATGTGAATCTGGCAATGTTTTATTATGCTGGTTGTTGTAATGCATCGTGGCAGTTTGGAAATAAAGTGTCCGGTGAGTGGCACTAAAAGGTTAATGCTCTATCGTGTTTGAAAAAACATAATACATACACTAAATTCTACTCTAAACCTAACCAATAATGTTAAATAAAGCAAACATGAGATAAAACACATTTGCTGAAGCAAGTCTTTGAGCACCTTGATTGTGTTTCACATGAGTTTTTAATCTCAAATGCTATGCTGTACCAGCTGAGCTACTGAGCAAGTTTACAACGTCAAAAAAGCCACACTGACCCAATTATATGATGGAAACATAATGTATTAGGTTACAAATCATGCACTGTGGTAAGAGTTTTGAGGTCATAATATTGTGCAAGGAACTGCACGAAAATAAGTGTTTTTATATTAATAATCTGCCCCTGTACTCATCATTTGTATGAACAGAAAGTTGCTGGTGTTTTACTGCCTTTTCCCCCACAAAAATTAATCCCAACCCTATCCCAATGAGAACAACTCATTGTTAAGTATTTCATAATTTGCTATTGTTGCAGTGAACTTTACATCAAATTATATTAAATTACTGTGTATATCTTCAACAGCAGCCTAAAATGATGCTTATTTGGTTATTCATTCATATTAACCAGTATATGGTTATTAGTTAATATTAACCAGTTGGTTAGCACTGACCAACAACCTGTCATAGGTGACATCTGCCAAAAAGGAAATTCATTTCAGAAGCACTGCAAGTTAATGGTGAAAGATGACCTGCTTGTTCTCCATTAGTTAAGACACTGGCATGGTTTTGACCATTGACCATTTTGTGATGTTAACTTTTGTTTTGCTCCCCTTTTGTAATATTTCAATTTCATGTTAAAAGTGCTAAAGTTTAGAATCCAAATCAATCTGAACTTGCTCTGAGCTTTAAAAGTATTTAAAAAAGAAAAGAGTTAGCGAAATGTGAAGATGTCTCAGGGACAGCATTCCCATAGGTGACATCTGCCAAAAAGGAAATTCATTTCAGAAGCACTGCAAGTTAATGGTGAAAGATGACAAAGTTTTTTTTTTCTTTGTAATAACACACACTGATGAATCTTGCTAAATAAGAGCAGGAACATGTATTGAGAAAGTAAATAGGGTCAATTTAGATTTCATGTTGACTTTAACAACCAAATAAAAAAGAAATGAAGTGAGAGAAGCAGAAATAGACTGTGATGGCCAATTTCCCCTTCAAAAGATGCAACAATCATATCTGAAACCTGCTTAACATGAGTCAAGGATGCACTAATAAGGAACCAAAGCCCGCAAATAATTGTCCATTCCAGACTCCCTGCCATTTAGATAATATCTTTGATTTCCTATCATGTAGGGGTGAAGGTGTGTGTGTGTGTGTGTTTGTTGTGCAAGTGTAGGGTGCCTGTAACACAATAAAGCAGTGGCAGGTCTATTTGGACGTCTTGTCAAGGGTACATCTAAAGGGCGTCCAACAGCCCTTTACAAGGGCTGCAGGAAGCCTCATTTCAACTCGACGTTGCTCAAAATCACAATGGCCAATGCTTGATGCCTCGTCCTTGAGCAGGGAGGAGGAACCGAGTGGGAGAGGCACACAATTACCTTGCAGCAGGAACGAGAGAGTCTCAACACTTACATCTCTAATCTCACCTGGACCTAAACATTCCATGTTTAATAAAACAGAGACAACAAGATTAAAAGTGATTCATGGGCTCTGAGCCAGTGTGGGCGGGGCCTGAGCGGGTCAGAATGATGTCACAATGCTTTGCTGCCTATCTTGTATTCAAGTGCATCATGCAACATTACCACAAAAAGAATAGGTCTTCCAATACAGGGAGCTAACACGTTTTTGGGATTCAGGAAATTATGTTATTGAGAAGCATACTTCATGCAAAACATTGCCTTGGCCAAAGTGCCTGCCAAAAAGGGGCTTAGGATACTTTCACACCACAAAGAGGTTAGGCACAACATCTAAAATTCAGCAATCTTGCACCTTTGTAAGAGGCTGGGACAGTATTAAAGTGTCTTGGATTTTTCTGCAAACATCTATGAAGAAGTAGGGTTAGGCCCTACTGGGCCCTTCCAATAGACCTTCTAGACTCATGACTGAACATTATTAAAGTGATGAAAAAGACAATATGGCTCTAACGTTTTAAATCTGATTTTTATTATTTTTTTTTGCTACAAATGTATAAATACGAATATAAATATTGCTAAGAGGTAAAGTTCAACGGAATAGACTAGCATCCAGGGAAGAGGAAAACATTTGGTCTGAGACCTGAAAACATACTGCAACGTAAGCTGGAAGGCCTGCTTGTTCTCCATTAGTTAAGACACTGGCATGGTTTTGACCATTGACCATTTTGTGATGTTAACTTTTGTTTTGCTCCCCTTTTGTAATATTTCAATTTCATGTTAAAAGTGCTAAAGTTTAGAATCCAAATCAATCTGAACTTGCTCTGAGCTTTAAAAGTATTTAAAAAAGAAAAGAGTTAGCGAAATGTGAAGATGTCTCAGGGACAGCATTCAATATTAGGTGATGCTCTCCTTAGAGACCATTACAATCACAAGACTCTCCAGTCATAGGTGAGAATTGTCTTTGTGTGTGTGTATGTGCTGGATGAGATGTCTGATGTCTCTGACGTGTCGGGTTTAGATGAAGCAGCCTCTTCACCGTGCTAAAGGTCTAACCAGCCAGTGATTCAACAAGAACCGGCACAAGAGGCTCATCAAGGTCAATTGGCCCTTTAAAGCACACTTATTACATTACTCTTCACAGCTGAACTCATCCAGTTGATTGGCCAATTGTGTAAGTTACTGGTTTGTTCCTTTTGAAAAGATTTGAAAAAAGAAAAAGAAAAAGAAAAAAGAAAAGCCAAGTATTATTGATTCTTGAGACTATGGTAATAATTTTCCATGAGAGAAGGAAGGAGAGAGAGGAAGAAACAGTAAGCCAGCACATCATGAAGAGGAGTCTTCAGGTTCAGAACTGAACTGTACAGTTTGTTTTTGGGATTATATGGACAAATAATACAACTGTAATTTAAACTACAATTTGAAAAACATTTAACATTTATTATTTCTGCTGCTA